ATTCGTTCTGCTATTTTAGCAATGTGACTTTTCCATGTTATCTTAGTGTCAAACGTCATTCCGAGACAAGTGAACTCATTGGTTTTTTCTAAGGTAGTATCCTTGTGCCTTAGAAGAGGGTTTATGCTGTGACGGGCCAATGGAAATTTTGGAATGTCGTTTTTGCGGTGTTGATTACCATTTCATTGTTGTCGCACCAGTTTGTTAATAGTTTAAGTGCATAATTTAGGGCACTTTCTGTCCTCTTTTGAGCGTTTTTCTTAGGGGCGGAATACCATAGAACAAGATCACCTGCATAAAGTAGGCACTTGATGCCCGTGACTGTCTGTACTAATTCGGCTATGTCATTGATGAAGACATTGAAAAGAGGGCAGCTTGTGACAGCTCCCTGTGGAAGACCTGTTTGTAAAAGATTGGATTTTGATAGAGCATTTCCATATCTGACTTTACATAATCTTTGTCTAATGAATGCTTTTATCCAGTTTAGCATGTTATGCTTAATACCAATCTTTGCCAATTTTAGAATTAGCTTCTCTTTCCTTACTAGGTCATATGCTGATTTGAAATCGACGAAAACAGTAGTAAGGGTATTTCTTGCATCAAGGGCATCTTTGATATGTTGGGAGAGAGTGGCTACTTGTTGGTTTGTTGATCTTTGTGGCCTAAAACCTGCTTATTCACTCCTAAGAATATTGTTGGTCTCAAGGAACCAGGTGAGCCTCCTGTTTACCATTCTTTCCATAAGTTTAGCCAGCAGGCTTGTGAGGGAGATAGGCCTAAAGTTGTAAAAGTTGCTAGGGTCTTTGCCCTTTTTTAGTACTGGTATTACTATGACAACTTTCCATTGGTTAGGTACGAGGCCGGTCTCCCAGATTTTGTTGAAAAGTGTCAGCATGGTTTTCTTGGCTTTTGGTCCCATTCTAATTAGAAATTCCGGCTTAATACCATCTTCGCCATGAGACTTTTTGCACTTGAGCTGTTTAATCACAGCATTAAGTTCGCAGGGTCTGAATGGTTCAGTAAGTACATTATTTGGTAAAGGTCTGCATGGTTCAGTAAGTACATTATTTGGTGTTGGAAGATCGGAAATGGTTCAGTAAGTACATTATTTGGTGTTGATGAAGGTCTGAATGATTCAGTAAGTACATTATTTGGTGTTGCTGGCAAGGTCTGAATGGTTCAGTAAGTACATTATTTGGTATTACCGTGTCCTCCTTACTTTCACCACATCATTTGGTGTTGCGTCTTCCTTAATTTCACCAAACTTTTGGTGTTGCGTCTTCCTTAATTTCACAAAACTGTCTTACAAGAAGCCTTTAAATCTCTTGAAGATTTTCTGACAAAAGGGTTTTCTAGAAATCTCTTGAAGATTTTCTGACAAAAGGGTTTTTCTTTTGCTTGTGCCAAACTGTCTTACTTGTTTCTTTATATCTCTTGAAGAGTCAACAAAAGGGTTTTTCTTTTGCTTGTGGGAATAGAACCTCGTAGGGTTTTTCTTTTGCTTGTGGGAATAGAATCTCGCAAAGGTTTCTTTTGCTTGTGGGAATAGAACTTCGCAAAGCAGTTAATTTTGCTTGTGGGAATAGAACCTCGCAAAGCAGTTAGCTACTGCTTGTGGAAATAGAACCTCGCAAAGTAGTTAGCTATTTAGGAGTCGGTGGTAAGCAGTTTGTTTTTAAACGTATTGGTTCTTTCTTTGGTCTTTCCCTTCTATTTTGGAGGTTACAAAGGAATTTGGTTGGCCATCACTTTGGTAGTTGATATTTGAGATGAACTTTTCTATCACTTTGATAGTTGATATTTGAGATGAACTTGTCGATGTTGTTTTGGAGGTTTCTCAGAAATTTGAAAGTGCGTTGGTCATCATTTGATAGTTGATATTTGAGATGAAGTTATATCACTTTGATACTTGATATTTGAGATGAACTTGTCGAACGCTTTGATAGTTGATATTCGAGATGAACTTGTCGAAGTAAGTTTCATAGTTGATATTTGAGATGAAGTTGTCGAAGGAAGTCCGTAATAGCTGATATTTGAAATGAACTTGTTGAAGGAAGTCCGGTTTAGTTGATATTTGAGATGAACTTGTCGAAGGACGTCCGTTTTGCTTCTAAGATGGCTTGCCTTAGGACAGCTGATTGTCGTCTCCAGGTTTGGCCTTAGGACAGCTGATTGTCGTCTCCAGGCTTGTACGTCGGTTCTTCCAGTCTGATCAGCAGTTTTGCGAAGGGCGTCGTTCGTTGTCGTCTCCAGGCTTTTACGTCTTCCGTTCTTCCAGGTCTGATGCCTTTGTTGCGAAGGGCGTCCCACTTTCTTTTCAGTTCCTCAAGGTGCAAGGGCGTCCCGCTTTCTTTTCAGTTCCTCAAGGTGTTTACACTAAAACATTCGATAGTGTTTAGTCCTGCCTTGGGGAATAGTTGCAAGTGTTTTTCAGGATGTTGGTTGAAGTTGAGGGGACTTGTGTGAAATTCGTTCTCTAAAAGGTTTGTGAATCTAGGCCAGTCAGCCTTCTTGAGGTTCCATGGTAGCTTAGTTAGCACTTTCGTTGTCATGCTTTTGCTGCCGATGTTAATACTAGCAATGACTGGTTTGTGACCAGAACCAGGATCGTCAATTATTTTGCGGCGAGTATGCTCACTGATGTCCCTTGAAGCCAGGAGTAAGTCAGGAGCTATTCTGGTTCCATTATAGTCCAAATATGTAGCAGGATCCTCATTGCTGTCAATAAGTTCCAGAGTTATGTAGCAGGATCCTCATTGCTGTCAATAAGTTCCAGAGTGTTGCTGTTTAGCATGTCTTCGATTTCCTTTCCAGCTATGTCTGTATTCTTATAGCCCCATCTGGGGGAATGGGCGTTGAAGTCTCCTAATAATTTAGTTTTTTGTGAGATGTTCAGATAATCAAAGTTGGGACTATTTTGGGGTGGATTATAGATTTCATATATCTTGAAGTGGTTTTGACATTTCCAAATATTTAATCAGATTATTTCGAAAATGTATTGCGTCGAGCCCATACTCATGATTAGATCGTAATGGGATGTGAGGCCTTCTTTAACTCCAGTAAGAATTCCACTTGCAACTTGCCGGTATTTAGGTAGATTGTACAGGGTGTAACCTGGGAATTGGTAGTACTTCAGGAGGTACAAGGTGTAACCTGAGAATTGGTAGTACTTCAGTTGGTTAGAATTCCACTTGCAACTTGCCGGTATTTAGGTAGATTAGTTATAATTCCACTTGCAACTTGCCGGTATTTAGGTAGATTGCTACAGGGTGTAACCTGGGAATTGGTAGTACTTCAGTTTTGCCATCCGAAATGATAGCTTTCATAATTGGGAACAGTTTGTCATCCGAAATGTTAGTTTCCATAATTGTGAAAATGGGTGGCATCCGAAATGTTAGCTTCCATAATTGTGAAAATGGCTACGGGTACAGGGTGTAACCTGGGAATTGGTAGTACTTCAGTTTTGCCAAGAGGGGGTAACCTGGGAATTGGTAATACTTCAGTTTGTCATCCGAAATGATATGAATTGGTAGTACTTCAGTTTGTCATCCGAAATGTTTGCCCCGGTATTTAGGTAGAAGGTACAGGGTGTAACCTGAGAATTTATTTAGGTAGAAGGTACAGGGTGTAACCTGGGAATTGGTGGCACTTCAGTTTGTCATCCGAAATGTTAGCTTCCATAGTTGTATTCAGTTTGTCATCCGAAATGTTTGCTTCCATAATTGTGAAAATGTCTACATCATAGGTTTGTAGGATTTTTTGGACTGTGACATCCCTCCAGCATTCCACTGGAGGATCTGCAGACGTTTTGATTTGCCCTGACGAGGGCGATTTCTCCTATAGCTTGGTTTCAAGATAACCATAATAAATGGAAGTTGAAATGCCGAGTGATGGAATTTTTGCCTTACGAAGATACGTTGTCCAGGGTGCACCACGTGGAGGAAAGTCCATCGCGCACCCTGGGAGGATAAGGTAATGTTGATGCAACAGCATTTACAAAGAAGACCAAGATGTTAGCAGGACCCCATGTTTAGTGGACAACAAGAAATGAATGAGACATGACGATAGGAATAGACGTGGAAGTTGTTAGCGAGGACAACATGGATTGAGTTGAAACAACTGAAATAAGTAAAGGTTAGCGGCTTCCTAGTCGCATCATATATGAGCTCTTGTGTGATACTTAGAATGAGCGGTGTGTGTGCTATGCGCTACTGTTTGATTGTTCAGCATACTGGCGAGGTCACCTGCTCGTTCTTGCTAAGTGGTTTACTTTAATTTAATTCAACCGGGTCTTACTTTACTCGGCTCGGTATCGGACTGCAGCAATTGGTATCATCAATCAGGTCTAAAACATCCCTTCTATGAATAGGAAGTGATAAGTTTGAAATCTTTCATTGGTAAGCAGGATATAATCAAATACAACTGATGACGGCCTTTTGACTGCTAAAATAATGAGTTTATGCTGCATATCGCTGGATATCAACCAGAGATATCCTGAAAATGCCCCTTTTATGGAGCCGTTTTTGTTTATTTAGGGCTTGTCAAAATCATTTATGTGGAAAGGCGGCTGATGGTAAGATATTTGCGATATGATAAAGTGAAAAAATGAAAGTTATTAATTGTATTCAAAATACGCCCATTGAATGGCATTTACACAATTGAAATTTTCGGTTTGAAAGCGTAAAATGATTTAGCAATTAAAACTCTGTGTAATACCCTGGACTTGTTTAACTATTTGGTTGAGCTTATCAATAAATCAGGAAGTTTTTCATTGATGTCAAAAATCAGAGAAGATTGACTTTATCAGGAATAAAGCTGAAAGTTTTAAATTGAAACTCATTAGAGTATGAGAAATTTAAGCAATGGAAATAGAAAGTTCATTTTATAACTTCGCTTAATAATAATAAAGGAGATTTGATTATTTAATCGAAAATTTTCCTTTTTCAAACGGAATAAACTAAATTAGTCAAGCGGATAAAAGTAAAACATCGAAAACTTGATTGATTAATTCTTCCAACACCTCAATTCATCTCGTATTCTCTTTTCTGTTGATTTCATTTTAATTTTTATTTATAAACTTCCTTCATTCCCTTGAAAATAATTAAAATTTAATTAGATTAATTCAGGTTGATTGCTTACCTGCGTATGAATCAGCCGGTCGGCGTTCTAATAAGGCATGCATTTCTTAAATAAAAGTTCAACCCACTTGACGTTGGCTCAAAAAATTCAGCTTATCTCCCTTTCTCTGCTTATATATTATTTATACAGAACTGCGATTATGCTTTTAGATGTAAAAGGAAGATAAGTTTAAACACACTGCCTAGTTTTTGCCAATCTCAGCGGAACCTGGCGCCAAATATATGTACTGAAGGCTTAATAAATCAGTTCTACAGAACAGGGGAAAACCACGAACAAAAGAGGGTGTAATCTTCTTTGACCTTGGCATGGAACTAGTGCTAATTGAAAGACAACAAAATGCCCTGTGTCCAGATGCTGAATTGGTTACATTCGGTTCACTCGAGTGAATCTCTTAAGATTTATCTCAAGTGAGCTTGAATTACCGATTATTGAATTTCTGCGCATTCAACTAGACTTGAAAGATGCGGAGAGCAAGGTGCTGGCATGGCTGAGCCAAGGGATCCTATACAAGATCGGATAATCTATAACGTGGTGCTGATCGTGATTGGAAGCTAGTGCAGTCGTGAGTGCAGTGACCACTCAGCCAACCAACCGTCAATATTCGCTGCGTAGTTACCATAACGGAATTTTTGTAATTTATCAATCAAGTTGCGTGCAGTGGCCACAACTAGAATAAACGCACCATACTCTGTATTTCATTGATATTGTTGAAGTAGTTTGCTAATTTCGGGAACCATTTCGAACAAAAGGAGTTTTCAGATTGGTTTGCTAAAGTTTAGTCATGGCTTATTTGTGAACCATCGGCTTCAAGCTCGAGCCAATTGAAATTCAATTATTTTCACCACCGATCTATCTCTTACTCATTGCTAAGAATGACTGCAGTTTAGAATTCACTAACAATGAATAAAGCTCTTCTGACCTGCTACAAAACTCAACGAAACAGGAATGGAAATTAGATTGACATTTAGGTGCCTCAGTGTGGCCATGGTTTCGGGAGATCTATAAGACAGAAATAATTGAAAGAAAAATTGAAATGCGAATCAGCTGTGAACATTAATGCCAAAACACGTGGAAGTGGTATTTTCTAAGAAGTTAAAAAAATTACGTGAATATCCCCTTAATATTATGTCGAGCAAACCCCACGTATATTCAGCATTGCAGTAAAGCTATTTGGAATTATTAAAAACATGTAATTCCATTTATATTTCAACTTGAAAACATCTAGAATTAATTAGTAACATTGGTAGACAGACGATTATCTCTTCATTACTGCCATATTTTGTCCTAGGTGAAGGGAGGGGAGGGGGAGGGGGGGGGGATCAGAACTTGCCATTAAATAGACGTCATGTAGCTTATATATCAATTATTTAGCGTGGAAAAACCAATTAATGAAAAAGGATTATTAAATAATATCAAAAACTCCTCTCTCTCTCCCCTTCTGTCTGTCTGTCAATATTTATTGCTTGGAAGAGCCTTTGTGTGGCATATGGCCATCAAATCAAGCCCTTGGGAAATACACATGAAAGACCATGGAAATCTGCTTTTTAGTTATTTTAAACAGGAAGAAGAAAGTTTTCTGTTGTCGTAGATTTAATTACCCAAAGAAGTAACAGTCACTTTAGTTCGCATTCAATTAAATCATATGTGTTATTAAAACAAATATTTTTTTCTCAAATTTCACTATATAAAAAAATAAATTTTTTATAATTTCTCAATAATAAACGGCAAAGAAAAATGCTGTTTTCTTTCATTCTACATATAAAATATAGCATAATAGTCGTCAAACCAGAAACAGATGAATAACCATTTATTGAAAAGTGAGACGATGCGCTTGATTATTGATCAGTGAGGTTGCTCTGATCTCCATTAGCCACATATTAGGTCTGGAAAAGAAGACTGAAAATATCGAGTTTATTAGGGAATTAGGGTTTAGAGCACAGATAATCCTCTGCATTCAGAAATAAGAAAGTAAAAAACGACTGCTCGTTCTTGAAAATTCTCTTTTTTAAAAGAAAAAAACAGTGTCCTTACTATAAAAAGTACTGTGAAGATTCTTGAAGTAAGCACTGAAATACCCTATTTTCTCTTTTTTTATTCAACTCATAAAATATTGTATTGAAAGCTCAAACCAACTTTCAAATCATATCTTAAACAGAAAAGTACTTTTAAAAGACAAAGGTTGATATCGAGAGTGATCGATACACTCAATCGAAGCCGAAAGAAATAATTGGGTAGTCTAATGTTCTCTTTCAAAGGCTTTACATTCAATTAAACTCGAATTAGTCTCCATCTTAATTAAGTAAACAGGCAAAATCAAAATTTTTGAAAAAAAGACAATTAGACGCTTATCACGGACCCGCCCACTTTGTCCCGACTCACCAATATTTTTGTGTTTCGGCGCATTGCATACATCAAGAGAATTCCATAAACCACATATTTGGTCCATGTTAAAAAGCGGCCTCTAATTTTTTTTGCACAGATATAAATTTCGTATTATTGTAATATTTGATTGTATTACTCAATTATATTTAAAATAAAGGTAAACCTTTCTACAGAGAAAACAATATTTTCTTTATTATTTAATGGTTGAACAACGTTGATGAAGCATCTGAACGGCTAATTTTTCATAATAAATTGTGACACTGGTGAAATCCAAATAACCAATGAAATTAACGAGCAGCCACAGGCAATATAAGTGGCCAGTCCGAGGTTATTTACTTTTCGGAATAACCGTAGAACCTCATTTCCGTATTATGCCACCTTAATGGCCGACGACGGGTAAGCATTTTTATAACAAGTCGCAATAAATATTTTCCCCTAACCTAAGAAATTTAAACACAAACAAAGTTGTGGCATGTTATATATTTTCTTCAATCATTTGAAGCTGGTTATTTTGCATTTATTTATTTATTTTCATCAATCGGATTCTGTCAATAGGGAGAATCGATCAAGTGAACAGCTAAGTCGTCTGAAATCAAGGAAAATCTTGGGAGTGGGGAATAGCAACGGAAAGGTTTCAATCTCTAAGGTATAAATACTTTCCGTTTTATAAAATTCAATTAAATTCTTTTACAACACTATCTTTTTAACATTCTACCAATTCTTTATTGATAAAGTATGATTTTTATGAATGATGAATAGAACTTAAAAATTTCATACTACGAAAATTCAATTGATTAGTTTATGAGAAATTTTTTATAAGCTAAACAATTGTTAACAAGGGTTTTCAGCAGATAATGGTGGATTAAAAATAATTTATAAATGAAATAGTTCTTTTTCATATCGCAATAAAAAATCAGAATAAATTGTAAGAATTTTTCAAAAATATACCTTAATAAAGTTTTCCGCTCTATCAAAATTAACATTTATTGATTCAACTCTCAATTTTGATATTCAATAAAAATACATTTATCAGGCATTAAAAAAACTTTAATTAATATCGGAAGGTAGTAAGATTATCATAGTTATGTGAGAATTTAGAGAGTATGTAATAGTATGTACTGGAACACAGGAACCCTGAACATAGATCTTGTTAAGTTAAATTTACTTTCATTTAATATCTATAGAAAAGGACATTTTAAAGAATAATCAGAATTCATGTGCAAAAAATACCGCGATTTGATTCTCCCATCTCAATTGCTATCATGCAACGGAAGGTAATGAATTTCGATATTTTAAAATAAAATAAATTGGAAACATGTGTGGTTATTTTCTTATCCTAGGTTTTCTTTCGGTCTAAATAAGTGTGCTTTATTATCTACAGCAAGCCAATCTAATTACAAATTTTAATAGATGGAAAGGGGTTAAGCATGTAGAATAGCGGTGGAATTCAAACAGAAGAGTAGCAAAGGGAGATGTAGGAACGATCTTAGAAATCAGATTTCAGGTTATCTGTGATTAATTGCAAAAAAGACCTCTCTTTTTATGGTATGAATTTCATGATGTTATCTCTGGAAACTCAAATGTTATTCCATGTCCGCAGTGTTTGTAGCAGATCGACCGTTTAATTGAAAGTCGGGGGGCGGGGGGGGGGTATCGACCGAGAATTGCAAGAATATAAAAAGGTGGCAAAGAAAATGATAAAATATTGAAAGCACTAAATATTAGTTCGCTTTGTTTACTTTACTTTTTGCAAAATGAAGAATATGTATTTTTTCACAGCTCTCAACTTGAGTGTTTTGAAGATAATATTTTAAATATTATTTAAATATTTTATTATTACCAACTTATTAAGTTTAATTTTACATTTTCTAATTGGTAGGAGAAAGAACTGATTAAAATAAGTAAAATCAGTTAAAGTAAAAAATTATGCTCGGTTCAACTTTGTTCCTAGATCCAGAAGATTGCTATTGTCTGTCTACTAGCTGCACCGCTAGTTTCAAATTTTTGATGATTACCAATTAACCAAGCGTTAGACTGTTTCATAATTGTGAAAGAACGAACGTGCCTACAAAATAAATGACATTTTTAACAGAAATATGCGTAATATGCGAGGAAATAATGGAAGATGATTTTAAGCCAGATTTATTCGTGGCTATAAAAGTATAACAGGTTTTTCTATTTTTGAACCTTATTAGCAATAAAACTTCAGTTCACCTTGAGTGAACTTTAGTTAACATTGCCCCGCTTGTGCCACCAAGAGTTATTAAGCCATCCTAAGGGAAAATTAATTTACCTTCCTGACGAAGGGGTTAAATTAAGGCATTTGAGCTTGGCGAATTTTTATCTGGCATTGCACTGGCTAATGCCCTCGTAAGCGGGATCAGAACCTCTAAACACCCAGTGGTGCGAGAAATAGCCAAATAAGCTCCTGGCAGAGTTTGATTTGCTCATAGGGAACCTCAATGTCTGTTGATAACCTCTTTTCTGAGCTGCCTTTGAAACTATTATTATCATTATATAGACCAAAATCTAAAAGAAACACGCCTTTTATATTTTAATGGACTTACCAGTTGTTTCCCAGTATCAGTCACTTTTAAAATAGTTAAGCTAATTACATTTTTTAACTTAAGAATAATTAATAATACTTGAAAGTTTTCCATT